GAATTTGCTTTCATTCAATCTGCTTCAGAAATTTGTTGAGTAGTGCTGAAAACCATTTCTATAAACTCCTCAAAATTTTTTGAAGGATTTACTTTTTTATTAAACATTATGGAACTAAGAATATTTAGAAAGGAACCCCAGTCAAATAAGTTGTTTTATGCTCAAAACTAAAAAATAAAGTATTACTGATTCTCCACTGAGACATCCTTCTTCCACTACGTCATGAATTTACTCTTACAAACCTGCATCACCATTTACATGCAAAGACTAAACAGGGCGGGAAGGGAGAGTGGCAGCCGCCCCCGTGGACGTCAGAGGCACGTACGTGTCCGTTTTTGTTCTTTAGCTCCCCGTGGCACAGCAGGACTTTGCTCGCTTCAATTCTAGGGTCCTTCTGCTTTTCATCCAGATACTCCAGCTTGTCGATGTAATACTGGCACTCGGATTCACCTTTCTTCAAGTTGATATCAGAGAGAACTCCTTGTATTATCAGTACCTAAAAATTATCAAAAGTTTGATGGAGCAACTTCAGTATTCAGTATGTTAACTCATCCTGTTTCCCCACAAGGCAAAAATGTCACGAGACAGAAGAATTTTAAAACTTGAAGGGAGTCTAGAAATCCGTTAATTCAGCCAGCGCCTTCATTTTACAGATGAAGAAACAGTCCCAGCCAAAATGGGTGGCTGGTCCAAAGTGGCTATCTAGTGAAGAGATCAGAGTAGAATCCAGTCCCCGGTTAAGATACAAATATAAAATGTGTTAAGCACGACACATGTGCATCTCCTTATTGCTTAGTGCACAGTGAACTAATGTACTCGTGCTTAAAACAACAGAATACTTCACTATGCTGATTCAATATACGTAAGATTTGAGAGTATCATTTTCTAACTTTCTAAGGCAACCTAATGTATCAACTTGAAAAACAAAAGGATCACTTATGGGACTTACAGCATCCTCTAGAAGCTGGACATCAGGGTGGTCTTTGGGAGTGTGTCTAAGAATTTCTTTCAACAGTAAAGGATATTTGACTAGGCGGCTTCGAGGGATATCTAGGAAGCTCCAAAGATCTAGTTTTCGACTGAAGGGAGACTCAAGACATCGCTGGAGGAAGTCCTGGACTCTTGGATCCTGTTTCTTTTGGTCAAGCAGAGCTTTGGCTGCCAGCTGGTTGCTGCAGTAGCCTCTGTAGGCGTTCAAGCCTGGTAGCTGAAGAGCAATCAAAGAAAAAGGATGAGTTCCTATTAGGACTGAGTGCGTAAACAAGCTTGTGAATGTGAACACAAAACGCACAGCTATTCTTGAGCGTTTTAACGAGCTGTGGACATTCTCCTGCAGATAACTATGGCAGCAGACTAGTATTCTAGGCAAACATCGGAATGCTCTTCAAATTTTCCTAAGTTGGCTAAATCCAACGGAAGCCTCATGACTCCTATCTGCCCTGACCTCAGAGAGGCCTGCGGTGTGCTCCCAGGACACCTGAGTGTCCTCTGCCACACTGATCACCAGCCCTGAGGCCGCTTATGTCTGGGCTAGTCCCCTGATGATTACAAACGCAGGGCCTGCCTTTCATACCGCATCCCCAGTGCCCACGCCTCAAACAGTGCCCAGCACCCGGCAGGCACTTACATGTTAAGTGAAAGAATGCAGCAGATAATTAACAGCATATAATGTGTGAATTCTGTCCAAGCAAGAACACATTTGTAAACACATTTGTAATACAAATGAAACCGTAACATTAATGAAGTTTATTTTTTCAAACAGACTGTAGCTTCTTATATCACTGTGAATTTGTTTAGTTTTAATGCCTTATCTGTTTGTGGAATCCAGTTATGAGATCACATCAATCTGATATTCATCAGAAACTGCTGCACGGCACATTTGTAAGAAGCTACATCTGCGATCGACGCGCCACATACCCAGTCTACCAGAATGTGGCCGATCTGCTCCACTGTCCCGTCAGGCTTGGTTGCTTCTCCTATTCTTGCCAGCAAATCTGAAGTGTAAAAATGCGGAAAGACCAATAATAGGTTTATTTAAAAAATAGGTTAGCATTACACTGAAGCTTAGATTTAAAATTACTTGTGTTATTGCTGTTCAGATACTAATGAAAATTAAGTAGCATATCTAACCTTCATGCAGAGGTATGTAAGAGTCCAAATCACCAAATATGTGTGTGAGTTCTTCTTCTGACATGATTGACAACTTTAACATGGGGTCATGGTAGGCCTGTCAGAGGGGAGAAATGTGCAGAGAGATCAAACATGAGAGATCTACATTTGGATGCAAACAGGACTAATTATATAGAAGCCAGTGTGGATTCTGTTTGCTACACATAAAAGAAATCAAAGTGTGTGTTAATCCCCAAACAGACTCTAATACTCATATGTGAAGAGATGTGTCCAAACCTCATCTAAAAAATGTATTCACCAGTAGATATTTTCTACTTTTTTACTTCTAAAGGTTAAGAAAATTATCCTTTAGAATCTGTGAAATGTAATTTTTAAAAACTAGGGCACGTGATAAAAAGTTACTTGCTGACCTTTCTTGCAAGCTTGAGATCTTCAATTAAATCCTGCTCACCTCGGGACATTTCATATATTGCCTAAAAAACATACAGCAAAAATCAGAGGTCATTCCTTTAAGAAAGAAAAATTATATACAATTGATGTTTTACATCATTTAACTGATATTTTGAACAGTATTTT